AATATGCTTTATTTTTTAATGATTGATATAGGTACCTGCTACTTGTGTTTACTGAATTTGTAGAGCTATGACCTGTCATGGAAGGGTTCCTAGTTTTGTCAGAGATTTGTTCACGTTTTTTACCAGGTCTAATACGCATAGAAAATGGACTGAAATCTGTTACACAGTTTGGCATAAAATCTCTGAATAAACATAGAAATAAAAATTATATTATATGGTTAATGAACTACAAAAACTAAACCTCACCTCACAGAATGGCTAATTTCAAAAGCATAACTTTCAGACATTACACTGAACTCATCTATTTTATAGAAGTGACTAAAACTATCATAGTCATCAATATTTAATGTATTAGCAGGATATATTTCTAAATATTTTTTTTTGCTTTCCATACAAGATAACGGCAAACAGTCCATTACACATTCATCCCACCATCTTGTCAACGGAACACTGAAAAAAAATTAATTGTGTTGTATTTATTAAATTAATTTGAATTTTATWAATGTGGTCAGACTACTTTGCTATAGCAATAAAAAATAATTAAAATTATGTCAGTGCATATTTGTTTTCTCTCTCGGACACACACACATCATAAATAAWATGCAATAACACCAAATCATCTTTTTTTAARTGATCTTTGAGTAAAATTACCTAATACACAAAGAGAGAATAATATTAAGGGTTTAAGGTATAGTTTTATATTTTTATTAGTTAAACAATACATTTGACTTTACACACCTCTTAGAAAATAAAGAGTGACATTTGTAAATTAAAATAGATGATAAATTGGTTTTGAAACAATATTTATTATTTAGATAGTAAATTAATGTCATATCATCAAAAATATTATACTCTATAATTTTTAAGATTTTAAGATTACTTAAAACATAAAAAAAAGTGATTTTGTTCAATGTGCTTGGTCTATACTGCACATGGGCCGAAGAGAGAAAACAAACTTATGTGCTGACATCCTCTTAATACTTAATCATTTAAGGAATTATAAAATACAATCACAATTAACCAGTCATTAGAGAGAAATGATGTTGTTTCTGGATGATGTAAATAGTAATCAAAATTTTGTTCCCAAATGGCAGGTTCATTTTCRTTTGGACAAAATAATCCCAAAAATAGATTAATTGCATTTTGTTTTTCAGTATCTATACATGATTAATTTACATTATTGTATAACATGTTAAWACTTAGGTTCAAAATAAGCAATTATCATTTAGTTAAATTCTAACCAGAAAATGTATTGCTATAGTAACGACTCAATGTTTGCATAATGTCGTTGCCTTGTGATGTCCAAGGGGCAGTTTTACGATAAGTTTTTATCCGATGGATTAATTGAGATCCTCCATATTGTAAAGCTAAAGTATCTCCATGGTCTTCATATGATACTTCTAATAATCTAACACAGTCAGTATCATACTCTAAAAATGGTTCATGCAATAACCCTAAATAATATAGCTGAAAAAATAAATWATGATTAATATAATAGAGTGTACTYTCGCTAAATCAAAGTTTATTGCCTTATTAAAAATTTTGAGTTATCAAAAAAAATTTTTTTCTAAAGTTTTAACTAATTTAATAGTCTACGTTAAAGAAGTACCAAAACTTCATATTATACATATTATTTTTAAGGAATTGTTATAAATATAATTGATTATTTTTATTTAAAACATTGTTCTCTATTCTATTTTCTAAATAACCGAATGGTTTAAATAAATCTTCCATACATTTATTGGTTTCAATAAATTTACATAATATGTGTTCGATACATTTGTTCCTAACCAATAAAGTGTTAATCTTTTTTTGCTATGTT